TAATCTATACTTATGTTGATGAGAAGAATATACATGATAATGGGTCAAGTTTATAAAGTACAGTAAATTATAAAGCCCTAAAACTGGAAATTCCAACTTTATACAGAGAAGATATACTTTAGAATTCTTAGAGATATCTTAACAATCTAGAATAAAGAGCCTGTAAAAAATTCTGAACCCACTGGCTCACAATCTGAAAATAATATAAGCCATAGGTAAGGTGGCAGAGAGCTTTCTGCCTACACTCTATCAGCAATCCTTAGCAACTGGCAGTGGTTGGGTCTACCCAATTGGGCATACAAGATGTAAAAGCAAAGAGTGCAAACAGGAGGCCCAGGAACCAAATCCAAAGATCCTTAGGGTACAACAGTGTTTTTTCTTTTCAAAATTTTAGTTGACTGCCAGCTTTTAAACACGGGGGGATTCCAGATATTAATACACATTTCCAACATTTCACTGAAAATCTGAAGATCTGGTTATTTTGAACCCAAATACATATGTAGAAATTGTTGACTGAGTCTGAGCACCAGCTGTCCACTTAAGATGGGAAAAGCATTTTCTATGTTTCTAATGGCCTGTCTTCACAAATGTATGCTTTTTACTTGAACTCTCAAGGTATTTGAGTTTGTCACTACTGGTCTGGAAAACCCAGTGGAGGTGATCACATATACATGAATGTCCTCAATTGTAAAGTGTTAGTTTTTATTAGCAAATAGTAAAGGTACTGTAGCAATAGATATGTGACATGGAAAAATAAGCTAATTATCTCTAAATTGTATAATATACTACTCAGTCTTCTTTCTCACAAGAATGTTGAAAGTAGAAAGATGTGTATTTCTTTTCATCTCACGCTTTGGTGTCATGAACTGGTAAGTTCACCAATGAATAAAGGAAATTAATGTGATGGTCTTAAAGAAACATGTGGATATTATATACCTATTTCCTGAAGTATTGAAAAAACACAAATTGAACATATTGGCAAGAATTACTCATAGCAATGAACTGTAGCAGGGGAAAAAAAGTAGGCACAAACCCCTGCCATCATAGAAAAAGGAGAGAAGAGAATAATAAATAAATAATTTAAAATATAATAGTCAAATTGTGATGACAGGTTTTAAGAAAAATAAAGCAAGGAAAGGGAATAGGAAGATCTGGGCCAATACAATATTTTGAAAGTTACTTAGAGAGAGTGTCACGTAAGAAGGCAATACTCAAAGGTGATGAAAAAATAAGCCATGCAATATCTTGGAGGAGAAACTTCAGAGCAGAGCGCAAAGGACTTGAGATGACAGGGGCATGACTGGCATGTTCAGGGGATGCAAAGGAAGAAAAGTGTTTGGATGAATGAGCAAGAGAAAGAATTATAGGAGATGAGGCCAGGCACGGTGTAGGAGGATGAATCATGTAGGCCTTTATGTGTCATTTTAAGTATCTTGGCTCTACTCTGAGGGGGCTAAAAGCCAGAGGTATGATATCACCTGATATTACATTTTAAAGGCATCATTTTGGCTGCTGTGTTGAGTTAGACTGTAATAGGGAAAGGGAGGAAACAGGAATATTACTTAAGGAGAGTATCCAGGAAAGAGAGAATGTTGGCTTGGACCAAGATAAAAGCAAGGGGAATAGTGAAGAGTCCTCAGATTTGGAATATATTTTAAGGTAGGATTTGCCAATGGATTGTATGTGCCATGTAAGAGAGAGGAGTTAATGATGACACCATGTTTTTTTTGGCCTGAGAAACTGGAGAGTAAAGTAACCATTTACTAAGATGGAGAGGACTAAAATTATCCCAATGCGGGTGAGGCAGGGAGGGCAAGGGCCAGATTGGGAATTTACTTTAAGACACTTTCAGTTTCAAGTGCTTGTTAGATATTCAAATGGGCTAAAAGTGTCTGGGCTAAAGATTAATATTGGTATTCTACTGTATAAAAATGATAATTAAAACCATGACACCAGATGGTATGACCAATAGAATGTGTGAGAAAGAGCATCAGGGGTGCTCTAATATTTAAAGTTTGAGAAGATAAGAATAAGAATAGGGACAACAGTGTTAGGAGTAACATCAGAAGTATGGTGTTCATGGAAGCTAGTATAGAAGGTATCTCAAGGAGGAAGGTTGACAACTGGGTCAAACGCAGTGGATAAGTGAGGAAAAATCGAGACTTAGAACTGATTATTGGGTTTAACAAAGAAATGAAATTCAGTGCCTTGAAAGTTTTGATAGAGTAGTTGATGGAGGCAAAGCCCTAACTCATAGTGTTCAAGATAGAAGCTGGACATACAGGCAGCAGGTTTAGACACTGATTTCAACTATTATTCTCTAAAAGGTGACAAAGGAGTGGTAAGAAACTAAAGAAGAACGTGGAATCTAGGGAGGTCTTTTGGTTTTGATTTTTGTTTGAAGATGGGAGAAATTACAGATACTAAAATGTTTAGTATGATCTATGGAAATGGGGAAATATTTGAATTAGGAGAACAACAACAAAATGTCTAGGCTGATATTTTGAGCTGGTGAGAGGAAAGTATATCAGATGCACAAATAGACAGTTAATCTCCACTAGGAGCACGGTCAGTCTATCCATGTGAGATGGAAATCATAACATATGGGTCCAGATGTAAGTAGATACATGGATGTGGTAGTGAGAGCCTCTAGACATTTTCTTTTGATTTACATCATTTTCTGGGTGTAGCAAAATAAAGAAATCAATTAAGAATGAAGGTAGAACACTAGAAGTCTGAAAAAGATGGAAAGGTAGAAAAAACAGGCCTAGTAGAGTGAGAGTGAATGAATGAGGGCAGTAGGGAGGATGGCTTGGCAGCACTGAGAATCCACTTAAGATCAGACGTCATGAATTTAAAGTGAGACCAGACAACTTGGTTTTGTATGTAACTCCAACTGCAGGAGCAGGGACAACATAGGTAGAGAGAAGTATTTAACCATGTTTGGAAATTTCCAGACAAGTATGATAAAGTGAGATGGGTAAGCAAGTTGAGGACATATGCAAAGGAGAGTTTTAATGTCCAATGATAGAATCTAACTTGAATAAAGAAGCAGTTGTAGATATAAGAGGGTGGTAAAGGAGGGTGAAAAGTGGAAGAACCCATAGATTATACCAATGAGCTCAAATAATTGTTGAATTGGGGGTTCTAGCAAAGATGAGATGAAAAGATATGAAGAGGTGCTTGGAAAGTGTGATGCTTGAAATTAAGGCTACAAAGATGTTATTTTTTTTTGGTAATGATGTCATCTAGGATATGGCCACAGGAGTGAATGGTTGTGGAAGGGGGAAGGAGAAGATCACTGGAGGAGAGATGGGCAAAGAAGTTTGAGGCTGGATTATTAGAAGAATTAACTAAATTGATACTGAAATCACCAAGGACCATAATGAATAATGTTGCAGAATTTGACAGTTGGCAAAGAGCTAAAATCTTCTGGGATCAAGGGATTTGGACATTAGGGTCAGGGAATGACTACAAAAAAGTGGGATAGGTAGTTGTTGGAATGTTTTGATCACATGCTTTTTAACACTTAGTGATTATAGGGGAAAAGGAGGAGAAATGATCTGGAAGAATTTATAATGAGCAAAGACTCTATCCCAAGGCCAGTGCTATAAGAAATGTGGGAAAGAAAATAACTACTATTTGAATGGCAAGTAGGAAAACAAAAGAAGCAGGGAAAAAGATAAGTATTCAGAGAAGAGTTTCAAAATATATTAAGTGATATAAGCTCTTAATATAACTCTTACAAGCTCTTAAATATCTATGAATTCCATAAGGCAAGGTGAAAGTTAAGAAGAAGTGGGATGGAAACAAAGGAGAAACAACATGAGGTTGACAGCCCAGAGGATGAAACTTGGTATTCCTGTGGTAATTGACATAAACAGTGACAAAAGACAAATGGGTTAGTCTAGATAGAGCTGGGGCTAGGATCAGGGAAGAAGGAGGCACTGGCTTCCAGGGGCAAAATTTAAAGGTACACCAAATGAAAAAAAAACTATGATGAGCAAATGATCAGAATTTTACATAAAAATTAAATTAATTAATATTACTGATTTTTCCTCTCACCCCAGACTCCAATATGGCTAGGCATGGCATTGTTATTAATCTATGTCTTTTTCACATTAATTTTGATTTTTTAAAATATGGTATTCAGGGGCACCTGGGGGACTCAGACAGTTAAAAGTCTGACTCTTGATCTCAGCTAATGGTTTGGGAGATCAAGCTCCGCACTGACAGAGCGGAGCCTGCCTGGGATTCTCTCTCTCCCTGTCTCTCTGCCCTTCCCTTGCTGTGCTCTCTCACTGTCTCTCTCTCTGTCTCTCTGTCTCTCTCTCCTCTCTCTCAAAATAAACTTTAAAAAAACATTAAAAATATTTAAAATATTGTATTGAAATAATATTTATCTTGTATACTGAGATTTTTCTGGCATCTCTTTAATTTTTAGCCTACCTCTTCCCTCCTCAAGACAGTGCTTCACTGGCCTCACCCTGGTCCTGCTCTGAGACTGGACAAAAGTGGTTAGGAGGGGCTGTGAGTGCTTTACCAATAGGGAAAAGCAGAGCATGCTGAGTCCTAGAGTTCTGTGTTCATTTCTGCCAATGGTAGCATGCTGGTTTTAGCTGGAATCCACACATTTTCCTCCTGATTCTCAACAATAAAGGGATTGAGGCCAAGGGAGGACCTATCGCATTATCACTGTAAATTCATTTGTCTTCTTTAGGATATCAAGGATCTGAGACCTAGATTCAGAGAACATGGTGTATTTGATGTGCTTTGACAAGTTAGACGCTGCCTCATTGTCCATCAGAGAAAGAGGGAGAAAGATCCCTAGATGATGGTCTAAATCTATGCCACTGTTTCTTAGATGTGACTCGTTGCTCACTTACAAGCAGGACCAGAAGAATTCTTAGGAAAATATAATTTGCATGTGCATTCATCTAACACGTAACTTGTCCAAAATTGATCTCCTGATTTCCCACCCCTCCCCCAAACTGCTGTACCTGAACGTCTTCCTCATCTCAGTCAATGGCGGCTCCATCTGTCATGTTCCTTAGGACACACTCCACATGGTACTGTTTCTCCAGTGCCTGTAATAATCATTAAGATGTAACAGCTAAACAAACAAATACAGCGTGTATTATAACCAAGGGCATGTGTTTATCTGGGGAAGAAATAACACGTGGCTAAGATGTGAATGTCATCGTGAGAAAACTTAGAATTGAGTAAAGTTGATAACAAAAGCCATAAAACTGTACTGCATTTGTAGCTCCAGCCCATTCCAGAAAGCTATAAATCACTGTAAACATATATATGCAATACAACCAGGTCGAAAATTTGGAAGAAGATTGGGAGATGGTGAAATAAAGTTAGGAAAAAGGAAATGGAGCTGGCAGTATTCAAGAGACATACCAAACGTTCTAGAAGGTTTCTTAGAGATAAGTGGCAAATTTGACTCTGAGCTTGCTGGTAACTAGTGTAAAATAAAAACATCTTCAAATCTTCACTTTACAGATCTTATAAGAATTTTAAAATAGTAATTAATAATGAGTAATAATAATAAATCTTCAAAGGGAAAAAAATGTACTTGATAATGAGACCTGAGAGAACTTCTTCTGATGAGTGCTCCTAAAGGGAAAATGTTGCTATAATAAATCAGGTTCTCAACAACATTCCTGAAGTACATTTAATAATGATCTCCAGAGGTCCATCCCTGGAAGGTCCCTCAATGGAGGACGATGGCTATCATCAAACTACAACTCAATGGAAACCAAAATATTGTGCTCCAAAAACACAGTGCTTCAATATTCTAAGTCAATCCAAGATTAAAATCTAAAGGAGCTAGCGTAAGCAACTGCTTCCTCCTTAAATTTTTGAACACCGTGTTAACTCTTGAAGTACACTGTGATTTGTGAAACCTAGTTCGGGAAAGAAACACTGTTGTACAGCTATCCGTGTATACTCTATTCTCTAGACAACCGTCCAGGATCAATCCTTTGATAATCACTCTCTAGACATTCTTCAGGACAATTTTCTCACAACTAATAATCTCATAAATGACTTTTAGCAAAGCTTCGGAGGTTGTACTCTAAAAAATATGTGGATTGCCATACTCTGTATTACTAATTCGGTATGAATATTTTTATTTGACAGTAAGCTAAAATGGGGGGAGGAGCGCTGGGATGGCTCAGTCAGTTGTGCCACCAACTCTTGATTTCTGCTTAGGTCATGATCCCAGGGCAGTGGGATTGAGCCCTGCATCGGATTTCACGCTGAGCATGGAGGCTGTTTAAGATTCTCTCTCTCTCTCTCTCTCTCTCTCTCTCTCTCTCTCTCTGAGGCGCCTGGGTGGCTCAGTCAGTTAAGCATCCGACTTCAGCTCAGGTCATGATCTCGTGGTTCGTGATTTCGACCCCCCATGTTGGGGTCTGTGCTGACAGCTCAGAGCCTGGAGCCTGCTTCAGATTCTGTGTCTCCATCTCTCTCTGCCCTTCCCCCACTCACACTCTGTCTCTCTTTCTCTCTCAAAAATAAACGTTAAACAAAATTATTTAAAAAAAAAAAAAGATTCTCTCTCTCTCTGTCCTTCTGCCCCCTCCCCAACTCCTGCTCTCTAAATAAATAAATAAATAAATAAATAAATAAATAAATAAATAAAATGGGAGGAGAGCTGATAGTCTCTTAAGACCAGTTGAAGAAAATAACCAGGGTTTGTGCCTATATAATTGGTCACCCCTGCTTCCCTGTAATAATTACTATAATAAAATATGATGAATCAGGAGTTCCAGGTTAAAAGCCATCCTACAAAAAGCCTATATTAAACAAGTCATAGAGTTCACCTCAAACAAATGTCAGGTGTGGGGCAAAGGGGAGAAAGCTTTATAAACATACTGATCTATTTCAGAAGTTGGTCATTTTTTTTTCTTTTTTAAGATTTAAAACTAACAGGATCTTAGGGCACTTCCTTAGTAAGAAGGCAATCTCCAGCAGCTGAACTTACATGTAAGCTAGTCAAACAACTCAAAGAGCCCTACACTTCCCAGAGTTTCAACTCACTGTTTGACAGTCAAACAGTCAGTGACAAGCCCTACTCATCAAAAACAAACAAAAAGAACACTTACTTAATTCATTTTTATGTCCTTATGACAAGTGAGGTGACTGTGACACAGATATTATGAATGAGGTGGGAATCGTTCATGATCTATTCACTGAAAAATCAATGAGGTGAGAGAAGATAAGTTAGGACTTCCCATTGTGCACTTGCTCTTTCTAGACTCAAAATTAAACATCCAGCAGCATGAACCTATGCCTCCAGCCCTTACTACCTCCTTCAGCTCTCACCACCTCCTAAGATACTGGTTCAAAAATGAACAAACAAAAAGCAGCTTTTCCTTCTATTCCATATGGACACTCCTATATAGTTTCAAGCTATGCCATGAAGCTGGAACTGGCATGAGGCAAATGGTACTACTAAAGTTTTCTGAAAACCCAAGTTAAGAATGCAAAACACATTTGGAGCTATTCATAATGCTCACAACTGATGTTAGAAATTGATGCTCTGAGCTTACAGCTTCAGGAACCTGAAGACAATGGAGAATTTATTGAAGTGATATTCAACCTGCCTCTTAAAAAATATTTTAGTTTCTACTCAACATGCCAAATCAGTACTTAGGAGTACTAATTAGAAATAAAATATTCATCTATAGACAAGGTATCATCAAACCATTCTTGGGGGTTTACCAAAATATCTTCATACTTGTGTGCTATATGAACATTGCCAGTTACTTGAGGAGATACTGCAGGGAAATTTGGAAACATAAAGCCTATTATCGATGGATTTTCATTTCCTCCCTTAGTATCTAACTTCCACACACTACTTTAGGGCAGCAACTGTTTCTGTACTGAAAGTTCTCCTCTTGGTCATTAGCCTATTGTGACCTGATCCCCTGTGTTCTCCTTATTCACAAATTGTGAGTTCCTCCCTCCGGAAGCTCTCACTCAGAGAGATGGCAGGTACTGTTCAGTGGTGTTCCTAACCATTTGTAGGTTGGTTCCTTAAGTTTAAAAATAGTCAGGGGGCACCTGGGAGGCTTAGTTGGTTAAGTGTCTGACTCTCAATTTCCACTCAGGTCACGATCTCAAGGTTCGTGCCCTTGAGCCCTGAGTAGGGCTCTGTGCTGACAGCGTGGAGTCTGCTTGGGAGTCTCTGTCTCTGTCTCTCTCTGTCCCTTGCCCACATGCACCCTCTCTCAAAAACAAATAAACATTTAAAAAATAGTCACAATGGAAGTAAACAGTTTAAATTGCTTCTTCTTAGGGGCGCCTAGGTGGCTCAGTCGGTTAAGCATCCAACTTCGGCTCAGGTCATGATCTCACACTCCATGGTTTGGAGCCCCGCAGTCGGGCTCTGTGCTGACAGCTCAGAGCCTGGAGCCTGTTTCAGATTCTGTGTCTCCCTCTTTCTCTGACCCTCCCCTGTTCATGCTCTCTCTCTGTCTCAGAAATAAATAAATGTTAAAAAAAAAATTATAAATAAATAAATAAATAAATTGCTTCTTCTTAGAATTTGTTGCTGTTGCTTCCTACTGCTTCTTCTTTGAAAATATTAGTCATGAGAAGAGTAATAGAAACGTAAATTGTGGTGGCAGTGGGGTTGCCAGAAGACAATTCAAAGTCTGAATTATGCAGGGTACACACTAATTTAAACTATAACCATTTTTCATGTAATTAAAATGTTCATGTGGCATAGATACAGGAATCAATCATGTGGTCTAACTTTCCTGCTTATCAAAAAGGAACAATAATTAATTAAAGGATGCCTTCAGCATTTCACATGGCAAGTATTTCCAAAGTCATGAATGTAAAGTAATAATCATCTCTCTTTGGGGCAAGATTATGCTTTGCTATTGTAGTAACAATAAAAGCAGTGATGAATATCAGAATGAGAAAAGGCTTTCTTAATGTTCAAGAATAGTATTCCAACAAGTCCTATCTTGCTAGGAGAGAGGAGCATAGCATATGAAAAATATATTCACATGGAACCTAATCATCTGTGAGAACCAAAATAAAATACTGAAGATGGTAGAGCAAAAAAATTCAGACTTAAGGAGGATGCCCTAAGGTTAGAACTGATAATATGAGGGTACTATAGGGAGATGTAAAATAGTCTTCCCAGAGCAGAAGCTTCAGGAAAGGGAGCTGTAACTGTTCACAGAGGTTCTTTCATCATGCCAAGATGTCCATTCATGTTTCTCCAAGCAATATTGAAACCGTGGGCTGAACGATATAAAACGCTAGATTCCTGTAGAAAGCCATATACTCTATATGTAGAGTTCACCTAAAGAGGACACAGCTGTGTCAAGTACAAAAGGGAAAGCAAGACATCAGCTGGAAAGCTTAGGTCCATTGAGAAGTGTCTTTCTTATCTTCAAAATTGGCTTGACTGGGAACCTAGGAATAATTATGGGAAAAGCCCAGACATGTGACTTCCCCCTTCTCCTAGAGCCTGTCTTCCAATGGCATGCAGGATGGCCCCTGAGGACAGTGGATTCACACAGACTAAAGCAATTATGCTAGAGAATATATTCTGCCTTTTGAATATGTCTGAAAGTTTACCTTCCTCCTTCTCAACACTCTCTCTGTTCTGAGGCCATTCTATTCATTTTTTTTGTTCCTTTGACAAGGAAGCAACACCCTCTAAGTACAGAAGACAGAGGAATTCCTTGGCTCTTTTATCCTTTCTTTGTTGAACCCAAGCCTTATTTATAAGCTTATATTTATAAGCTCAGTTCCGAAAGCTGGTTTCTTTCAGGTGTTCAGCAGACGGATTTCCTTTAACCTTTCACTTTTTTTTTTTTTTAGGGTTATTTCCAAAGCAGAAGAATGAAAAGTCAAAGGCTGTAGGAAAAAGGATGCTGTTCCACTAGCTTGAGATACCTTCACATCTTCTGGGAAAGGCACGTGAGGATGGTTCCAGTGAACACAGCAACAGTAGAACAAGCAGGCTGCTTCCCCTCAGCCTGTCCCTCCTACAATAGACTCATAACAGATGTAAATGAATCTAGTCATTCAATCTCAAGTGATGCAGATTCTCCTCTCCTTTTAGTTCTGAAAGTCTGAAATGGCTTATTCTCAAATCAATCTACACAGTAGACCCCAGGTCCGGTCTCAACATGGAGGCCCTAGGACGTTGTTAAGGAATGAAGTTGCAATAAGTAATTCACTTGACTTTCTAAGGTTATGTTTACATGTTAGGCAGAACACAATTACAGTAAGCCTATCCATATCACAACCCATGATGGATCAAGTTTTGATGCTTAGAGAGACACATTCACATTTTAGAAGCTAGCTGATCACCCAAGTTCTTGCAAATTTACAAAGAAAGTACAACAAAACTGGAAATAACTGTGAAATGTACCATTAAAAAAATCTATTTCTAATGAAATTGTTTATTGCATGCCTTAAGAGTGATTTCCTAGGTAAGATACTTTTCCAAGTGGAAAATGCAATAGTGATGGTGACATTATTTGCAAATCATTGTAATGTAGTTCTATAGGCATATTACTGCACTCCAAAGCAATTTCCTGATTGTACATAGAAGCAGATTAAAATATGACAAGACACAGAACTGCAATGACAACACAGAAAAAATGCTAAAGAAAATCTAATATAGATTGTGTTGTGCAGAATTTAAGTAAATATAGATGTGTAGCTTTATGACTCTTAGTTTAAATTTAAATATGGTGTCTTTAGTCTTTACAAATATTAGATACATCACATAGTTGCACTATTGAAGCTATTACTGTACATTTATAATGTATTTTTCTATTATATTTGATGTAACATGATCAGTTCCATATCTAGAGCTCCTATAATGACCAACTCTATTTCATCTACAAAACTCTTCCTCATATGAAAAAAATAAAAGCTAGTAAGACCAGAGACTGACTCTCAGTTAAGAGAGTCCCTATATAATTTCCTGTATTATAGAAAATAGTTCCCACATCAAACACAAACATAATAAAATTCATGTGTAAGCCCCTATCAATAGGTCATTAAGCCACAAATATGCTCACTGAAAATCAGATTCTGTGTATGGTAAAACTGAGCCTAAATTATTATCAAGTTTCTTTTGCTTTCCATGAGGGATGGCAGGAGATAAGAATGAGAAGTTGCTGTTCTCACAATATATGGCAATAATTGACTGCAAATGATCAAAAATTAGATGGGCACATTGCTGCCATGTAGCAGACACTGTCCACTGATTATTGAATTTTCCAATTTTCCTCTCTACTTCCTTTTAACTGAAACTGTTTGTTCACTCCCCTCCAAATGGCCATGATTTTCAGGAATCTGCTTCTAACAATAATTGCAGGGGATGAAATCTGTTAGTTGGTCTAAACCTATTGTGGGGGGTCTCATGCCTTTTCCTGGGAGGTGGGTTCAGACATGAGCATTGGATACAGTATTGTGATTTTTCTCCTTTCACTGCCTTTGGATGCTGATTTCTGAGATGCCTGGGAAATTGATAGCCACCTTGGACCCAGGGGAACAGATGATGACAAATTAACAACAACTGAACTACCAGATGAGGCTTTGAAGGGAAGACTGCATCTGAATCAGAGATGATAGACTCCCTAAGACAACATTTCCAGGAAAAGGATTCTTATATTTTTATAATTAATAAGGAGAAAAGGAAGAAAGCAGAATCAAGTTCATAACAGGAGAGAAAGACAGAGCCAACAGATGTCACCTCTAGCAGTTCTCATGTTTTGGCTACAATTCACTTATCTGCATCTTTGGCAATTTTCTCAGTGTAAACCAGAGCTGCAAGGAAAAATAATTTTCAATCTCTGAATTCATCTCCATTAAAAGAGGGATGGTAGGCATATTATATTTCGAAGGCCAAGTCTTATGAACTAATTACATCTCCTAAAATACCATGTTAGGGAGGATGCTAAGGCTCAGACCCATCCCAGTTGAAAGGAGAGCTGTGCCTGGGGGTGTGCGCCTGGAGCCCAGCATAGAAGAATGTCAGCTAGCTTGCCAAGTATTTGTCCTCTTTGGTTTTGTTGATTTCACTAAACTCCATTATACACACACACACACACACACACACACACACACACACACACGTGTGTGTATATCTATATATATATACTTCTATTGAATCTGAAAATATCTGGAAACATAAATATTTCTAAGTGGAATCTCGGCTCATCATTAATTTACATATTTGGTAAATATGTTGGGAGGGAACAGAAACAGATGATTATAATGTAAGACAAGAAGGGATGACTGGTTAGTGCTAC